CACTGTCCCTCCACTTTACCAAACAAGATGTCTTTCTCCAGACACTTGTCCCTCCTGGTAATATGTCTAAAGTATGAGAAATGAAGTCTGTCTATCCTGACTTACACTTACAAAGAGAATTCTGGCTGTACTTTTCCCAAAATAATTCATTTGTGTGTGTGTGTCTGTGTGTGTGTGTGACCCATCATATTTTAATATTTTCTTCCACATATCAAATGAATAAATTCTTCCATGTTCTTCCACTGTCCAACTTCCACATGCATATGAGGTTATTGAAAATATCATACCTTTGGTCAGGTATTTATCAAATATGTCCTTTGATTTCTTGATGCTGCTTTCATCACTGTTGTTGGTTAATCCAAGCAAAATGAAGTCTTTGATAGTTTCAATCATTTCTCCATTAATCTTGAAGCTGTTGTTTAGTTGTGAGAATTTTGTTTTGTTTTCTTTTCATTGACAAGTCACCAATATGGGAAGTCTTTGATCATCACCAGTAGATATTTTAAGTCTTCTTAGCTTACAGGAAGTAAAATTTTATCATCTGCATATTGTAGTTTGTAAATGGGTCCTCTTCATATGATCAAGCTTCTCAAATTATTTGCTCATCATTGTTGTTGTTGTTAGGTGCCATCAAGTCGATACTTACTCATAGAGATCCTATGCACAGCAGAACGAAACACTGCCCAGTTCTGGACCAAACACACTACCATTGCCACGTTTGAGTCCATCGATGTTGCCACTTGGCTCATCCATCTCGTTGTGGGTCTCCATCTTTTTCTCTGACCCTCCACCTTACCAAACATCTTATCCTTCTCCAATGACTGGTCCCTCCTGGCAATATATAGAAAGTATGAGAAATGAAGCCTGGCCATTCTGGTCTCCAAGGAGTACTCTGGCTGTGCTTCTTCCAAAATGGATCTATTGGTTCTTTTGGCAGTCCATGGCACTTTCAATATTCTCCTCCAACACTACAACTCAAAAATATCAGTTCTTCTACAGTCTTCCTTATTGACTGTCCAGCTTTCTCATGCATATGAGGTTCTTGAAAATATCATGGCTTGGGTCAGGTGCATCTTAGTCTTCAAGCTGATATCCTTGCTCTTCAATACTTTAAAAAGTTATTGTGAAGAAGATTTGCCTAATGCAATATGTGGCTTGTTTTCTTGACTGCTGCTTCAATGAGTGTTGATAGTTGATCCAAAAAGAATGAAATCCTTGACAATTTCAATATTTTCTCCATTGATAAGAATTTTATTTATTGGTCCAGTGATGAGCATTTCATTTTCTTTACAGTGAATGTAATCAATACTGAAGGCTGTGCTCTTTGATCTTCATCAGTAAATGTTTTAAGTCCTCTTCACTTTCACCATACAGATTTGCTCACCATGCAAATTAGTAAATATGCTACAATCTCAAAATTCATTCAGTTTATTATGATAATTACAATTTAATTTATAATCCCCCAGGCCCTCCCTTATTACATTCAAACAAATAATATTAACCTTAATGAAAAACTATTCCTATCTGTAACACATAAACATCTTTTCTTCATAAACTTATTTATAATATCCTTAATATTCCCTTAAAGTTTCTCTCTCTTTTTTTTTTTTTTTTTTTCAATATTGGCAATATAAAGGATTCTAGTATACCTGGCACGACACTGTAGAATAAGGACTAGACTGTTAACAAGAGCTTAGCAGTTCAAACCTAAATGCCACTCCTTGGAAGCCCTATACTTGGTCACTTTGAGTCCAAACTAATTCACAGGCTTTAACAACAATAACAAAACAATCCAACATTTGGAAGGGCTGTTAAAACAGAATTCTAGGAAGTCATTGCTATGTGTTTGTAATACTAGAATTGAATTTCCTCAGCAGCTTTGCTAGAAAATGTAGATTATCTATAAAATAAAATAAATTCTGATAAATTTCTGGAGACTCCTTAGCTATGGCATCTTGGAGTACTAATACAAGGGATCTTTAAGTAGCCAGTCCCAAGTGTGTAAACTGACCTTAGCACTGAAAAAGATAATGTATGTACATTCAGAATATTCTAAAACCTTGCTAAAGGGTTTGCCCAAAGGTAAACAAAATTGATTGTTTGGTAGATAATGACAGGCAAGTGGATCCTCAAATGGCATAAAAAACAAAAAACAAAGCAAACAAACAAACAAAAAAACTGTATTATTTTTTCACTTCTTTTAATTAATAGAAGGCAGATAGATTCAGAGCCAAAATTTAAAAGAATAAAAGCGTTGCGGTTATAAATTGGGCTGCTCACATCACGGTCAGCTGTTTGAAACTACTGGCTATTCTGTGGGAGAAAGAAAAGGGTTTCTGCTCCCTTAGAGATTTACAACCTCAGAAACCCTGTGCTTGGTCACTATGAGACAGAATTGACTCCACGGTACTTAACAAAAATAACAACAAAGGTAAAAAAAAAAAAATGTGTTTCCTGTAATCTTGCTATTTTATATATTTCCTAAACAATATCTAAGCAGAAGGTGCAAATAAAATAATGTGTTGATATGCAAATGAAATTATCCCTTCAAAGTTGAATAACATATAAAGGAAAGGTTTTCCCTTGCTCCAAATTTTTAAAGTATACATATTGTTCTTGTTAAGTGCTGTCGAGTTGGTTCCAACTCAAAGCAACCTTGTATAGGTTTCATAGTAGCAGCAGGTGAGTTTGAGCAGCTGATCTTGTGGTTCACAGTCCAGTGCTGATCCACAGAGCCATACCAGAAGTCCAAAGAATACATATATGATATGAATAAAGATTAAATACTTTAATTTAAACAAACATGGTCAAAGTTTAATAAAATGGTATGAAAATATTTTTATATCCATGATTCCCATCATTTATGAGATATGTTTAGTCACTAGTAATTGGAGTCCTGATGTGGTACTGTGGTTGAATGCATTGGAGCACAAAGTCAGTGTGAATCACAAATTTGGCAGTTCAAGCTCACCAAGTAGTTCCTTGGAAATGCTATCTGAACAGGGTAGGTATGGGTTTGAACTGACTTGACGTCATTTAACAACAGCAAGTTGAAGAATGCAACTAAAATAAAAAGTAAAACAACTTTATAAATGTCATAATTTTAATAGTTACACCCTTGGGTTGTATTGTGCTTTAAAATATATATTGTTTAAGCAAAATGTTGGTACATTGTTAATGAGAATATAAACGTGTCAAAATATCTTGAAAATTTTCATTTCATGGGTGTTGAAACAGCATAGTCCTTTTAGTGTTAGGGAATAGCGAAATAAATTGTGTTGAATGTTAGTAGGGGCAACACAGCAATTAGTTATAAAGTTACTAATAATTTCTATAACTTTCCTTGACCTATTTGAATTAAACAAATAAATAAACAAACAAAACAAGATGAGACATGTCACAGTAAACATTATTATAATCCACTAAAGCAGACAAAGTAAAGTAGTCACATATATCCATATTACATAAGAATTTGTATTTATGTAACAATTTTAAATGAAGGAGAACTTCTTGTGGAATTTGTACAAATTAGTACCGAAGTCATAAGCTTAAATTTTTATTCAATTTGAGATTTAATTATTAGAATAAATCAATGTTATCTATGTCCATGTATATCATAAAAATGATAACTTTTCTGTAAGTATCAATTTCCTCAAGTCATGAAGTAAAATCTTTTAAATGTACACTAATTATAGAATTGCATTAACAATAATTATGAAATCAGTTTTAAAGGATATTGAGGATAAAAAATGTTTTCTTCAAAATAAAAATTATTAACTGCATGTAAAGTTATACTTTTTTATGGATCCTCCTATGGCTACCAGATTCTTCTCTTTGAAATCTGTAGGTTCACACCATCTTAAGCTATTCAAGTAGTATCAGTGTATTTATCCATATTTTTTATTCTTCTTCATCTTGCTAAATGATTATTTATTTTGAACATTAAAATTTTATTACAAAATATGTTATATGATAGACTGTTTCACATAATGTACATCTCTATTTTATGCCATGCATTCAAGGCTGTATTCTTTATCTTGGTAGTGTTTACCAAGTATCATTTTTCACTCAACTGTTAATGCTCAGAATGAAACCTTTCAACTATGACTTTATGTGTAATGAAAACATCTCTTATGATGTAAATTAATATACATACATATAGAGACATGTAAGTATTCCTCCGTGTAATCACCTAAAGTATTTATAGATTGTATGTTGATAGAAGCATATAGTTCAGGTATAATGAAATAAAGTATTAGAATTCAAATATATAAGCAATAAATACACAATATAAATGTATAAATATGAAAAACACATTTGCATAAACACACACCCACAAATATTTTAGCTAAAAGGTACAGAATTTCATCCTTAAGTATTGAATTAAAAAATAATGATAATAAATTATGTATGAGACCAAAATGACAACACAATCTTTACAACAAAGAAAAGAAGTTTAGGGTGAGTGAATCTGAATTAATTCAGATGATACAACTAGAGCAGAAAAGAGAATGCTAAAACTAAGAAAAAATATAATTAATTTCATTAAAATGTATATGTAGAAATTGTTGAATGAGGGCCTGCTTTGTAGTGTATATTGTCAACAAAAATAAAATATAAATGTTTTGGGCATAGTTTTGCCATAGATGATTATGAGATTTACACCAACCTTGGTAAAAATCCAAGAACACATGAGAAAATGAATTGTCTCCTTAGATTTTTCTTTACTTATAACTACAAAGAAATTAGAAAGACAACACACTATATCCAGTATTTAACATATATTAACATTCAAGGAGAGTGAGTACAAGATACAATAATTAATATTATCCAATAAAAGGTTTTCTTCAAATGATTGTGTACTACCAATTTTCATATTCTCCCTTACTCAAAATTGTTAAATGTCTAAAATTTTAGCTGTATCTGAAATATTAGATAAAAGCTATGCATATTTATACATAATTTCCAGTCAAGGATAAACAAAAACAACAAACAGCTCTTTAAGATCCTTTAAACATTCTGCTGAGAGCATTCTTAATCTCCCTGTTCCTCAGACTAAAGATGATAGGGTTTACTAAGGGGGACACCATGGAGTAGAAGATAGCTGTGAGGAGATTTTGAATAGAAGACATATTTGAGATGGGGCCCAAACAGGCAAAAAATCCAGAGATTAAAAACAAAATAAGAGTAGCCAACTGTGGAGAGCAAGTGGATAAGGCTTTGTTTCTGGCTTCCACAGATTTCATCTGGAGCACAGTAGAAAATATGTTTACATATGAGGCAAATAAAATGACAAAGCAGAGCAACGCAATGCAAGTACTTACTGCAAGGGTCACTGTCTCAGAAAACTGCACCGACTGAGAAGAGATGCTTAGGATTTGAGGGATGTCACAGAAAAACTGGTGAATAGCATTGGATTTTGTGAAAGGAAGATAGAATATGGTGCCTGTGTGGATTGCAGAATAGACCAGTCCAGTGGCCCATGAGCCTCCTGATATTTGTGTGCACAGACGTGGGGTGATGATGAGCTGATAATGCAGAGGGTGACAAATGGCAACATAACGGTCATAGGACATGACCACAAGGAAAATAAACTCTGTGAATCCAAATAACAGAAATAGGAAAATTTGGGCAACACATTCTTTAAGAGAAATAAATTTACAGTTCATTAGAGAATTCACAATTGATTTAGGAACAGTTACTGAGATATAGCAAAAATCTAACAAGGATAGGTTAGCTATAAAGAAGTACATTGGGTAATGAAGATGGGCATCTCTCACAATGACAGTAACAGTCAGAAGATTTCCAGCCATGGCTCCAAGATAAACCAACAAGAAAATTAAACCTTGCAAGATTTGGAGCTCCCGCGAATTTGTTATATCCATGAGGAGGAATTCTGTGATGATGGTGAGGTTTCCCATTTCCATTAATGCATACTTCTTTCCCTGGCATCAAAGTAGAAAGTTATAAGATGTTGCTATTAAGCAAAATGGGGAGTCCAACCATCATCTTAGGAAATTAAAATTCTGACATAAATTGGTATACCGTTTTTAAACATTTATACTTCATATATAATTGTTTTATGGTATCTGCATACTTAAGTAGTAAACAGTATGAAAGAATCTGAATAGATATAACATAAAATATGTTGATAACATTGTAGTAATATCAATGTATTTCAATCAATTTGTTATCAGTTGTATTTACCAGAACATAAATCTTTGAAAGAAAAGGAAAATTCAAAACAAAACAAGGATACCTGAAAACTGATAAAAGCTTAAAATTGATAAAGCTTTCTCATCCCTCCTCTAACATTAGTGTCTCTCTTTAACTCATACATAGATAAAGCCAAGCACACTGCTTTGCTGAACTCTTCCCTTAATATTTGCTAGTAAAGAAAGGCATTTTTTCATAGTGGTGTATATTATCTGAACCATATGAAGTAATATGTCTCCAGATTGCTTATAGAATTAGCTATTGCTTTTGGAGGACAGGTGTATTTATTCTTATGAATTCTCAACGGGTATCAGTAATTGCAATTACCAGGAAAGGTGTAGATTCTTCAATGACTTTTTCCTGCATATGTATTTTCACATATCAATTAAGATTAATTAGATTTATGAGTCTTTTTCAAAGAACATTGCCATAATTGTTTTGTAAAATGGAAAGCAGACATTTCCTAAAGTGACATCTGGAACAGTGATGGCTAAGTGGCATTTTAGTGTTTTATTCATATGATTATTGACTGTTAGGGAAGGAAATAAAGTAAGTTTTAAATATATACAAATGACAAGATTAAGTAAATCTAAGTATGCATGTAAAAATGATGAGATAAATCAGAATTACTGTGCTCACTTCCATGAAGTCTAAAACAAATTAACACCACTAATACAGCACCAAAATCTTCAGCATTAATGGTTAATAACACTGAAGGCATTTAAAAAATAACAACCATGTTCTGAAAGATGAATAACAGGTATTACTAAACTATATAAAATTCCTTACTTAAAGTCTGGAACATTCCATGGCTGATGTTTATGAAACGATAGTTAGGAAAGGAAGTACAGATACAATTTTGACATGCCCATGAGAATTCTAACACTTAGGGATAAATCCAAAGGAAACAGTCTTAAAAGTTTTACATCTCAGAGGATAGATCCCCAAAACACATGAACACAATGAAAGGAGTTGCCAGGAGAAGGTAAATGGTCTACTTCAAAACAAAGGCGAGAATGAGATTAGGGAACAGAAGATACAAGCATATGTAAGTCTAGAAGAAACTAACTGACACATGTTGTTGTTGTTGTTAAGTGCCGTGGAGTCAGTTCTGGCTCACAGCAACCCTGTGCAGGGTTTTTGAGGTCATAAGTCTTTATGGGAGCAGAAAGCCACCTCTTTTTCCCATGGAACAGCTTGTAGTTTTGAACTGCTGACCTTGTGGTTTGCATCCCAATTCGTAACCACTATGCTCCCGAAACCTGAGTGGTATTTAAAAAGAAAAAAGCCCAAGTCTTAGTCTCTTTTCCTTGAAATAAGTACCAATAATCTTTGGCTATGTATAATAAAGATGAATAGTTATCCAGTTACTAGAGTTATTGGGTTCTAGCCCTGGATATACAGAAAAGTGAGTGGTAAAATATTTGGAGTGTTTACTATAACTCTAGTATGCATAATGATTACTGTCCACCAATTCATCCTGCTTGGTTTCCAGGATGCATGAAGACTTTAATGGTTTGATCAAATGTAGCCAGTTCTTGTATGAGATACCTGGAAATCAGCCATTACCTGAGTAATTGTACTCTGGTAGCATAGTGGTTATGAATCTTGCTGCTAACCTCAATGTCAGCAGTTCAAAACTGCCAGCCATTCCACAGGAGAAAAACAATGGTTTCTGCTCCCATAAAGATTCACAGCCTTGGAAGCCATGTGCAGGGTCATTATGAGTTGGAGCCAACTCCACAGTACTTAACAACAACAACAATTATTAGTTCAAATGCAAGAAACTAGAGTGTCATGATGGGGAAGTTTGATGGTGTTACATTTATATCCTTAATGTGTTCTTAGCAAGAAAAGTGAGTGACAATGGAGGTGTCTGGTTCCACCATAGTTTACCAACTAAATTAGAAGGGCTGAGTACAGCCAAAATGTTTCTGTACATCACTGATGTATTAACAGAAAAGGATATAATATGAAAAGTGTCTGGATCTAATGTTATTCATGAGTTGTTTGTCCACATGGGGTAACTCTGGAACTGAAATCTTATGTTCCCACCATATGGAGATGCTTCCTACAAATCCAACAATCTGTTAAGTTGGCTGCTTTTACAAGACTTTAGTTACTTTTACCAAGGAATTGTAGTTTCAGGTAGCTCATATGAGATATGGCAAGTGAATTGAGGGGACATTTGGACTTTTAATAAAAGATTGTGATAGAGAGGTAGGGCTTGATGGTGGCTAGGGTGGAGGTGCAATGAAGTCTGCCATCAGCAATACCACAGAATACCAGGCAAAGCAGATCCAGAGCAGAGCTCCAAAACTCAGAACCACAGAGATAGGAATATTTTAAATGTTTGAAGGATTATAGCTTGTGGAACTTGAAGCTAAAGTAAGGAATTGTGTACTTTTGAATCTGCCAGGCTCAAAGGCCTGGAGCCAGCATCTTGGGTGAGACCAAATGGCAAGACCAAGCAGGGGAGCACAAACATCATGGAAAAATGCTACAGGAACTGCAGGGCAAAGGTGGTCAATACACCTTGCCACTAATGCTTTGTTCTGATTTTCTTTCCTTTGGTATCTGGTTATTGGCATGCCCACCTTTTGTGCACCTCCATTCTGGTGACCAGAGGGAGAGCCAGAGTGAGTGGACACGCCCCACCCTTCCCACTGATGGGTTATCCTGCCACGCATGTGCACAGATACTCAGGCCAAGAGCAGGCAAAAAATATTTTGTTGTTGTTGTTGTGGTGGTGGTGGTTTTATTTTTTAATACAGGAAAGGACAGGACAGGGCTATAAAAATAGAAAGAGTGTTTTAAAACAAAGCAAGCAAAAAATTAAATTAAAGCCTAATCTGTGCGGAGCTGATGAAAGGAAATACAGATGGGTAACTCATGATACTATAGTGAATAATGCTTATCAGGACGAACTATGAGGGTTGGAAATGCAAAGATAGAAGTTTTGTAACAAGGAAGGGAGTGATTAAATCTCCAGGATAGGAGCGGAGACCTCTGGGACCATCAACGGAAAAGAGCCGAGTGTGGGACCCTACCCAGAGAAACAGAGATGCCTGAGATGGAGGCAGAGAAGATGACGTGGAGTGATGAAGCAACTGGGGACTTTGGACGCAGAGAGGGAAAGGGACTGTGGGCCAAAAACTGGGAGGAGGAGGAGGAAGTGTAGGGGGTGGGTTTCTGGGATATACCCTTTGGGTGGTGGATGATGCATGGAGGGGATTGAAACCATGGCAATGAGATGATATACGAAGGAATGAATGTAAAACTAAAGTTCCCCCATGTAAGCTATCATATA